AATTCTGGGAATTGAAGTCCACACATCTTCACGTGGCCAAGATTGAGCAACATTGCTCTAACCCAAGCAACTAACCCAAGCAGGTCCACACAAAACCAGGGCTGTTTGGGTCTAAAGTAACTCCCCTGATCACCCATATTGTCTCAAGAGGGACAAGTGGGTGACCAGACAGTTACCAGTCCCCTTCCTTCTTCTGAGAAAGTCTTAGAAAAGTGGGGCTTCTTTGGGAACTTGATCTCTGTTGCCATTTTAGTTTTCCTACTAAATGGTGAAGAAAGGGTTGGGGGCCAACATGTCCCTTCTCAAATTAGTCCACCAGAAGTGAGAACCCCAGATCTTTTCCAACAGCACTGTGCTAACACATCCAGAGTGTATTGGTTAAGTATTGCTTCTTCCTTTTGTATGCAAGACAAAAACATTAGGGTTGGTGGTACTCAACCAGTACAGCCCAATGGGGTCGTACACCTCATCTCCTCCCGGACCCCCACAAGTTTTAGAAAGGAACACAATTTGCATGGCAAAATGATCACAAGTCCAATCCTTTGGCCAGGTCTTGGACTCATCCTGTTCTCCATCCATGTGGCACAGTTCTTCCAATGTCACAGAAGCCCAGGATACTCCAGTAACAAAAGAAGTGTTGAAACCCAGGCACTTTGGCCAAGATGCTTTTCTAAAAGTAAATGGACCTTGGTTTGGATTGTGTGAGAGCCTCAGGCCACGAGGGGAGAAAAGGGCTGCATTTAAAAAGGTGAACTTTTGGTGCAACTCATCAGCCTTCTGAGTTTTCCTGTTGTGTTTCAAAAGAAGTGCCTTCTCTATGCCCCCGTTGGTGCTTGCCGAAGTGAATGATCAGAGAACACGTCCATCCATCTTTCCTAAATAAAACCGCTGAGTTTGATTAGGAAGAAGAGGTAAAAAAAAAGAAGATCTGTTTCATGACCCACTCTTTTGGTAGAGGAATGGAAACACCGTGGGTGCAAGGAAGCAGGCCAGATGACACCAAGAGTCATCGTTCAAATGTATGCTTGGGGAGTGAGAATTGAAATCTCTGCTCTTTCACAGGCTGAGAGGGGGAAGCCAATAGCCAGAAATCTGTCGATTTTTTCCTCGCCCAACCCACCGTTACAAAAGAGAAGCCGTGTCTTTCATTTCGAAGGTCCAAACATCCCTCTTGATTTTCACGATCAAAATTGCCAGTTGGTGCCCTCAGGGCTTGCATTAAGATTGGAGGGGTGGGGGGAATCAACGACAAGTCTTCCAGATTTTACACCCATTTCTAAAAAAGGCAAAACCAACCAATATCCTCTTTTTAAAAATGGCACCTTCCTTTTGAGCAGGGCGGATGACTCCTTCCATCACAGTCAGCGGAGTCATAATCGTTGCATTTGAAGGATCCTGAGATGACGTTCTGCCAAACGAGCGAGGGTCTCCCTGGATTTTGCTTCCGCAGGATGGCTGCTCTCTAGCTGTTTGTAGGAAACCAGCATCGGCAACTCCGAAGGGTCTGGCTGTTTAAAACACGCACACACGCACACACACACACCCAAGGGAGAGAGGACAAGAGAGCCGTTTAGCCAGGCTGCAGCTGTCACCACAGGTTGCAAAGAGGCACAAAACGAGCAGGTATCTGGGTTGCATGCCAACAAATATTAGATTTCTAATACTTCAGGAAGAAAAGAACATTGCAATTGCCAGAGCAGGGGGAAAAGAATGCCAAAAACGTATTTTCAATGAAAGAAATGTGCAATAATGTTTGGGTTGTTACAAATGCTAAAAGAGTGCTCAATTATGCTGGAGATTTTTAAGTTCAGGGTAAGGCACTTCAATGGACAAATGATGGAGTAACCAGCCGTGAACTTTACAAAGCTATGCTATAAAAATACAAGTATACCTTTATCTACTGGTAGAGAGTAAAATTTTGCAATAATCATGGCAGGTTCTATCATACAGGAAGTCAGAGAACAACTAGGCCTGCTATAAAAACATTTCTACTTCTAGAGGTAACAGAATTGGATTATTGAAGTGTGTTAAAAGGTGGGTGAGTTAGTGAAATACTCAGCCTAGTTTGCCAGAAAATAGGCATGAATCCAGTAAAACGTGGACAGAATTTTTAGGATGCGTTCAAGGATGCCTTTCTCTTCCCCCAAATCTAACTATATTTTCTGTACCCAATCCTGCAGTATGACAAGCAATAACATACTGGATTTGAAGCTGTCAATTCAGCTGCATGCAAACTGTCGACTGAAATATAATCTTCCAAGATTCAAGTGCATGTCATGTTGGAAAAACGTACAGAAAAAATCTGAACACGGAGAGAAAAGAAGATTCAAGCTATTCTTTATCCATTGGATTTCTTTTTACAGGCCAGCATAGCGTCTTTCCCCTGTATATTATGGGGACTAGTATCTGCAATTATTCCATTTGTAATTCATAAAGCTGTTTTGCCATTTGAGTTGCTTTCCATGCCATGGTGGTAAACGATGGGCGATCTAACCATTCATAGAATCATAGAGCCAGAATGGACCTTGGTGGTCTTCTGGCCCAACCTCATCCCATTCTGGCCCAATGGCTGTCCAGTCTTTTCTTGAAAACCTCCAGTGATGGAGCACCACAGCTTCAGGAGGCAGCTGTTCCACTGCTGAAGAACTCTGAGAGTCAGGAAATTCCTCCTTAGTTCAAGTTCAAGTCATCTCTCACTGCAAAGCTTCCACCCCTTGGTTCTTGTCTTTGCAGGGAAGATCCGTACATTGCTCAAATGAATCTATTCCCAAAGAGCAGTGAGATTCAGGACTCTAGGAGAGTGGAAAACCCTTTCCGACAAAATTAAGAGCCATTGGTTCTGAGGTGGAAACCAGTCAGAGTAAGCATTCAGAACGGCTATCATTCTGCTGGTAGGTTTCATATCTCATCAGGCCGTATTATAAGCACGAATCCTAAAATGATACAACATCCTTTCTTTGGTTCCAGGAAGGATTCAAGGAATGACAAGGTGACGAAGGAGGAAGACCCCCCCCCCCAAAAAGGCTGTCATTCTAAAGGATGACAAATGGATGAGCTGGAAGCAAGGACTGGAAAAACAGAGCAAAGCCTTAGAACGTTTTTACCTGGCTAATTCCAAGAACTACAAGAGTTTTAAACAGAAGCTGCTAAAGTCATCTGCAGGCAGGCAGGCAGGGAGGGAGGGAGGGAGGGAGGGAG